ATTAAGGGCATGGTAAGCCTGTGAACCTTTTAGCCTGCTGAGTGGATAAGCTCTCATTTATTATTTTCCAGTTTTGGGGCTGTGGATGCTTCCTGCTTCCCCTCCCCTCCCCTCCCTTCTCCTTCTTCTCTGTGTCTTCATCCTCCAATATATACATTGAAAACTATGGTCTTAGGTCTGAAATTACTGGGTTAAAGGATGAGAAAACTTTTTATTTCTTCACTATTTTACTGAAGTGTCAATGAACTTGGAACAGGTCAAGAGTGGCTTTTCAGTGTCTACATATTTGTGCAGTTGAAGGTTATCCTGTGGAAAACTCTTTCTGGGTCATATGGGTCATTAACTGCTGGGAAATGCACACACTTCAGAGCTCTTCTCTTTCCTTCTAATCATTTTTGTCTCAGCTGTCTAAGGGAACTGAGAGGTCACTACTTAGGTCAGTTGATCCACAAATAGAAGAGAGGCTGGTATTTGCTTGAGGGGCTCTGTGCCTGGGGATGGCTTGCTGACAAGCATAGAATGGGACTATGTGTTATACTGCTGCAGGCCCATCCTCTGGCCAAGTCTGCACAGGCTGGGGGCAGGGAAGCAGTCATTGCCCTAGTGTCCCCCTGAGAAGGGTGCTGTTGTGTGCTGACCTACAGAGTACCCACTTTCTTCAGATGATATGATTTTTAATGAGGGAGGACTGAAAAACTTCCCCAGCACACTCAACTTCCTCCCAGCATCTCTGGAAACACTCCTTTCTCAGGGGAGTTGTCAGACTGGCTGGTGGAAGCAGCAGTGTGTTTTGCTTTACAATGGTCTAAGTGTTAGCTTATTCCCCTGGCTGAGTCTAGCATATGGCAACTTGTGAATAACTTCAGATCCAGGGCTGTTCCCTTATCATTTCTTGCAGTACTTGACCAAGTCCCTTGCCTAGCCAGGTACCCAATCAATATTCATTGTCCAAATACCCCAAGTTCAGTACAGTAGTATTATAATCCCAAATATTGAGTTCAGTCAGCCAAGTATTGTAATCCTCTTTCTAGTTTTCCTCACAATCCAAAAAGTTATATTTGTAATCCCATTGAGACGTTATTGGAATTCCAGCAAGTTAATTCTAATCAAACCTCACCAATGCAATCCATAGTGAGGGTAAAAACACCAAGACATATTCCAAGTTAAGGGCAGTCAAGGAGTCCTAAATCCAATCTTCATGAGTGTAAAGTATAAAACATAAGAGGCCTTTATTCTGAGAACACAGAGAGAGATAACCGACACCCCTGGCCACTGGAGTCTGGCGATTTCTCCAGTGGACACATGGCGTGGGGGGTATATAAGTAGCTTAAGCTTAGGGTAGTGCCCTAGGGCCATTAGGGATGCACAGGTATTTCACTGGCAAACGTTCCGCGCCAGGGGCAGATTCCGAAGGGTGGGGGGCCATAGAGTTACAGGTAAATCTCTAGGGGTGGGGGAGATAGGAGCTCCCTGGTTCCGGCTGAGGCTTTTTCTGCCTACAGTGTCCAGTCTGGGCCAAAACTCTTTCAATGAGGACATGCAGACAAAGGCCTTCATCATAGGCCTCTCCCAGAATTTATTATCTTGTGAAGAAGGGGGTGACTCAGGGAAGAGTGACAGTGAGGATGGCAGGAATTAGGTGAGAAACTTGAGCTGGCTGGCCCAGTGTAAGAATGGCATCTCTGTAATTTGCAGAGATAAACATATGCAGAAGGATCAATTTACATAATCCAGTTAAGGTAGCAATGGAATTGTTTTGGGAGTCTGTCCCTTCCTGTTTCTGACATGTAAACTCTTATGGTCTGGGGAGTCATAACTTCTTTATCTTAAGGCTCCTATCCAGTTGACATTCCTGGAGCTATTTGCTCTAACATCTCGTGTGCCCATATCCTGTGCATATTCTGTATGGAGAACGCTATGCAAAGAAACAGAACTGTCTGTTGGCTTTAGAAATTATGTACCAACACCTCTGCTAGCCTTATTTGCAATGCTTAGCAGCAATTGAAGAGAGAAGGAAATACTCTAGCCAGCTTTTTACATATCAGTATAAGGAAATTAGTCTCCAAATAATCAAAATCACAGTAATTGTTTTGCATTCAAAGGGAGTTACTGGAGTTGTCTGGAGTAGTTCCAGAAATGATACTAATCCAGAAAACCTCTCAAGCTATGTCCCAAAGCTAAGATGTCTAGGGTGCTGGAAAAGGTGCTCCTGCCTTGAAATAAGCAGGGAAGTGAGAAGCCTGTACTCAGAGATCTCCCAGAAAGAAACCAACCTGGTTCCGAGTTGGGCTGTTGCTCCCTCTTTAGCCTCCTCTAGTCCAGTTTTTCACAAAGCTTACAACAGGAATGCTTTTATTCTCTCCATCATCACGTCACCTGTGCCCATTAATGCCTCATCCTGCAGGTCTCAGCTCAATTGTCATAAGCTCACCTGGCATAGTCCAGAGTCTTCTGTAATCCCACCATGTTCATCTTCCTAGCACAAATTAGCACTTCTCAGTGTTTTCCCTTAACATTTATGATGCCAACAATTTTATATTCTCTTTCTCTCTTTCTGTCTCTCTCTGTCTCTGTCTCTCTCTCATTCATTGGGTATGTGTGTCTTTGTCTGTGTCTCTGTCTGTCTCTCTATTTCATAGGATGTTACTCCATGACTGCAGGAGCTGTGCTTGGTTCTTTTCCCACTGTGGACCTGAGTACAACAGCACAGTATCTGGTATGTGATGAGTATTCGGTACTCTGGGGATTAGTAGCTATTTTGCATATCACACTGAAACCATAGAAGACACAGAGCTTCTGGCTTGACTCTGGGTTGTCTCTATAGCACTTACTCAGCTTTCTGGAAAGATGATATTCTCAGTATCATTCTTGGACTTCTCAAATTACACAGTTCAGAGGCTTAGGTCATGAACTCACTAGGCTCTATGAAGAAAAAAGTTCTCTAGACACGCAGAAGTTGAGCTGGGAATTGTGAATTAGTGGTGGAGCACTTGCTAGGTTCAATTTCCAGCACTGAAAAAAGATGTAATAAGTATGTCCAACACATTTGGGCAATTATTATTACTGCCTGATAATTCATCTATAAGAAAGATGTGGGCTGGGGATTTAGCTCAGTGGCAAGAGTGCCTGTCTGGCTAGTGCAAGGTCATGAGTTTGATAAACAAACAAAACAGTGCACTACCAGACAGATAGAAAGAGAAGGGGGCATCTTTTATTATTCCTTCATACCTTTCTTTATGACAAAACGTATAGTATGTAACACAAAATTTATCATTTTAACCATTTTTACATTTATTATAGTTAGGTATGTTCACATTGTTGTGCAAGCACCACAGTTCTACATATTACTGATTGCTAGTTCACAAGCTCCTTATGTGGCTTCCTTGCACTTTGGTGGATTAACCATCCCCTGCTCAACTGGTAGCCCTGGAGGTGCTTTGCTACTTGGCTTTCCTCTCTGCTTGACCACAGTAACAGCTGAGTCACAATCCTGCAGAGGATGATAGTGTCCTACACCTGTTTCCTAAGAGCTGAAGTAGCTATGGTAGAGGAGCATCTTTCTAGCTCAGGAAGGTTTTGCTGTTGTTGTTGTTTTGTTTTCTGTTTCTGTACCAGTGTTGGAACCCAGGAGTCTTCCCTGAGCTATGTAATCCTAAGTACATACTGAGTACATACTCTGCCACTGAGCTATGTAATCCTAAACCCCTTTGAGACTGGGTCTCCTCAAGTTGCCCATACTGGCTTAGAACTTGCAGTCCTCCTGCCTTCATTGCCCAAGAAGCTGGGCTAACAGGCATGCACTGCTGTGCCTGGATAGGAAGACATACTTTTTTAGGAAGCCTAGAAATGAATCTGCTTGGTGTGCAGGAAGCATACTTTCTAGAGGTGAAAATCAATATGCAGGGCTGGGTAAGCCAAGCTGACTGAGTGTGAGGAGCTAGAATGTAGATAACAGTTTCAGAATCCTGATCCACTCCTCTGCCGAGGTTTTCAGTGACATAGTCCAGTAATTTATTGATGGAGCATTTTAGCATATTCCTTTATTTTGTTTTGTTTTGTTTTCCTTAACACTGGTGAGAGAACACAACCTCATACATTCAGTTTGGAAGACATCTAAAGATCTTTTATTTCTTGTCACTATTTCATTTATGTTTTCCCACAATTGTAATTTGTATACTTTGCTTATAAAGGTATCAACCTGAGTGCAAACTGCTGGGTGCTGCTCAAAACCTATTGTTCTTTTTTTATTTTGGGAAAATTCAGATTTTGTGTAGGGTGGCAGTGGACGGCGCCTGATAAAATAGCACATTTTACATCTTCGTGGCCATGTGACTAAATTCTGAGCAAAGAGATAAAAAAAAAGCAGAAATGTTATAGTTTTTTTTTTTTTTTGGTACTGGGGATCAAACTCACAACCTCATGCTTGCCAGGCAGGTACTTATGCTGCTGAGCTAAATCCCCAGCCCTAGTAGAAGATGTTTGAGAAGGATGAGAAAATAAGCTGGCTTGGTGAAGTAGGACCCATTTACACTTTCCCTTCTTTTTGCCCAGAATACACTCTGGCCATGATGTTGTGCTGTGAGGTGAGTGGAGTGTGCAAGGTACTCCTTCACTGAAGGATCATGTGACACTATTGACTTCTGATACATACTTGAAAAGAGAGAGAAGGGAGAGGTAGCAAAAGATATCTTCTGGCTCTTACCACTGTATTTTCAATTTTTTGTCATAGTGTGCCTGGACTTTCAGTAATAACAGCTCAAACTATTGCAAACATTCAGCAGAAGATGGATTGGACTTTATAGCTGGCTTCTTTGTGACTTATCAGGGAAAGGAGCTCCTATATGAAGCAGAACCCACATAAAGGAAAGTTGTCTTTTGAGTCAATCTCTACTTCATCTAGACTGAAACTTGACAGGCTTGCATGGACTCAGTCTTTAACTTATTCAGGGACTGAGTTAAGAATAGAAAGGCCGGGAGGGGGCTGGTTCTGCGCAGGGCCGTTGGCTCCAGACAAATAAACATGGAGTCCATCTTCCATGAAAAACAAGAAGGATCACTTTGTGCTCAACATTGCCTGAATAATCTATTGCAAGGAGAATATTTTAGCCCTGTGGAGTTATCCTCAATTGCCCACCAGCTGGATGAAGAAGAAAGGATGAGAATGGCAGAAGGAGGGGTTACTAGTGAAGACTATCGCACGTTTTTACAGCAGCCTTCTGGAAATATGGATGACAGTGGCTTTTTCTCTATTCAAGTTATAAGCAATGCCTTGAAAATTTGGGGTTTGGAACTAATCCTGTTCAACAGTCCAGAGTATCAGCGGCTCAGGATTGATCCTATAAATGAAAAATCATTTATATGCAATTATAAAGAACACTGGTTTATAGTTAGAAAATTAGGAAAACAGTGGTTTAACTTGAATTCTTTCTTGACGGGTCCAGAATTAATATCAGATACATACCTTGCACTTTTCTTGGCTCAATTACAACAGGAAGGTTATTCTATATTTGTTGTTAAGGGTGATCTGCCAGATTGTGAAGCTGACCAACTTTTCCAGATGATCAGGGTCCAACAGATGCATTGACCAAAACTCATTGGAGAAGAGTTAGCACAACTGAAAGAGCAGAGAGTCCTTAAAACAGACCTGGAACAAGTCTTAGAAGGAAATAATAGGCTGGGAATGTTAGATGAAGAGGATTTGCAGAGGGCACTGGCATTAAGTCGGCAGCAGATTGACATGGAAGATGAAGAAGCAGATCTTCGCAGGGCTATTCAGCTCAGTATGCAAGGGGGTTCCAGAAATATATCTCGAGATGTTGCACAGACATCAGGCACAAATCTTACATTTGAAGAGCTGCGAAGGAGAAGAGAAGCCTTCTTTGAAAAGCAGCAGTGGGCAGATCCATCAGGACAGGCTTCACAGCCACATGAAAGGCCAACCACAAGTTCAGGAGCACTTGGGAATGATCTAGGTGATTCTGTGAATGAAGAAGACATGCTTCAGACAGCTGTGACCATGTTTTTAGAAACTGTTACAAATAATTTGAAAACAGAAGGGAAAAAATAGTATCTTTTAAAATCATTTACATAATCATACTTTCCAACATTGTCATTTGTGATTACATCATAGGGTCCATTTTGGTAATGTGTCAAAGAGAGCATTGTTCATCAGAGAAAACTTTTAGGTGGCTTGCAAACAAAATGAACAAGTAGAAAATGTGTCAGTTGTAGGACTAACTAATGATCCTCAAAAAACTAGCCAAAAAGGCATTCAGCAGTTAAAGAAATTTAAATAGTCTTCTAAATGTTGCTTTTTCTTTTTTGAGTGTGCAATATCTAGTGTGTCTAAAATCAGGCCATTTGCTTGGCTGTTTTTTGCAGATCACCTAATTAGCTCTTGCCATCAAACTTGTCCCATACGGTTTTACTTTTGTCTTCTGTTATAGATAATTTGGCTCACTTTCAACATCTAATAATTGCTTTTATTTCTCACTAACCAAATCAACCTTTCAGGAAAGTATCTCGTTGCCTGTCTTGATGATAATAATGATTCTGGAGGGATAAACTTTTCTTGCCTCCCACCTGTGTGTGTCATGCACAGTGGTGTTTTCTGTGATCACAATTTCTCTACTACCTGGTTTTCATTATTTTTCTACAATTGTTTTGAAAGGTGATAACCTTATATGAGGTTTTGCTTTTTCTAAGCCCTGCACAATGGGATCATTATTTCCTGACTTCGGTCCATTCCTACACTCTGAAATCAGCTCTGCACAAATATTTCGAGAGTAAATGAGAATTTTTAAAAAACATACAAGCATTTGTTTTCCTGGATGCTTTGTATCTTTTCAGTTACGTCACAACTTTACAACTTCGTTGTAACCCTGTTTTCCCACACCTTATTTCTTCCTCCATTGAGAAGAGTAGGAGAAGCATAGTATGCAAGCAGATTTCCTTCTCTAGAAGACTTAACATACATACCCACCATGAATGTATGGTAAATGCAGTTTGGCCTTCAGTTTTAGTGGCAGTTTATTTTTTTCTTTTTTTCTTTTGTGACTAGAGCTTTGTGTTATATTTACAATGGAGTCATGGATTGTAGATTCCTACTTCACATTTTCTAGTAGCTATAACTTTCCAGGAATGGTAATTTGGAACATGGAGATAATGTACTAATAAAAATATATTTAAATGAAAAAAAAAAGAATAGAAAGGCCATTAGGGGCTGAATGCCATATGTACTCCAGTGTCTCCCAGGCACCTCAAACTTAAGTCTGACTACAACTGCCCACCCCAGTTACCACTACCAGCACACTGGTTCTGATCTTGTGTTCTTTTGTTGTGGGAAACTTCTGAAGTCAAACCGAAAGGAAGATTCTGCATCAAGGAGCTAAGAAGTCAGCCTTTAATCTTTACTCCAGTGGGCTTAGTCTTCATGCCAGTGGACTGTTGCAGACTAGTTCCTTAAAGGCAACAACACTTTGTTGTTACAGAGAGCTTTGTTTATATAGAATAGAATTATATAGAATTTAGAAGTGGGAGGTACAAACCAAGTGACAACACTGTAGTTACACGCATTAAGTCATATATTGACAGGCAGATTATACTTGAACAGATTTGTTGAAAGTAAAGATTGTGTATCATAATATAGAAACACTCTAGGAACAAAAGGAGGGTGCCTTTGCAGAGTGAGCATAGTTAAAAGTGTCCTTGACTAGCACAGGGTTCTTTTAAGGTATAGATAATTAATTTCATTCAGTGCTTATCAGAGGTATGCAGCTGGTCTTTAGACACTGTCACAGTCAATCGAATTCAGGAGCAGAAAGTTGGTCAGAGATCTCTAATTTGTGTCATGAAATATGTAGATATTTGCTATTTTATAAATGTGTTCTGATATTTTAATTGTGCCCCAGAACTTTCACTGCGTGAATTACCATCTACCAATGCTACTATGCAAGGAGCCTGTGAAGTCATCTTTCAAACCTTCCTCCCCATTTCCAAAATGCAGGCTCCCATCCAGTCCAAGGAACTCCCTCTAAGATTTATTATGCTTTTATTTGTTGTCTCCAGTGTCACCTTGAAGGGTTAAGTGTACCATTTCTTGCCCAGACAGCTCAGTCTTCAGACAGGACCCCAATTTCCTGCACAGCTGTTGGTGAGTGTTGTAATCTAGTTTTAACCATTGTGCCTCATTTTCTGTTCTGTATGCATCTTACTGCCTCCCCCTTCCCTTTCCCCTTCCTATCTATGTAGGTTAAGTTTCAATTTCCTGAGAAAGCTGTAAAGCCTTAAGTATCAGTTTCCTGTAACCCCTCCCCTACCCCTCATCCAGCTATCTGTAATAAAATGTGCTGTTCTTTAAGAAATGCTTTGGCATCGGCCTCCCTGTGTGTCTGGAGGACTGTGGATGTCTCCGCGGGCGGTGGAGCATCGTGGGTTCCAGAGGCCCTGCAGCCTGTGGTGAGTGCTCAGTGTCCTCTGCCCAAATCCCAGACTGCTCCGGACCCTTCAACCTTCCGGGTGCAGTGAAGTGGAGAAGTGGGTTTGAGGCCTCTACATCCACCTCCCCATCCCGGCTGCACTTGGAGAACTGCTGAGCTTCCAACGGGTGGGCAGGCCCACACTATCCCCAGAGCCCAGCCTGCTTGGGCCTCCCGCACCTAGCCATTGGTGTGCAGAGGAGGGGCTGGGTGGATCTGGGGCACCTGCATTGGCCTCCCCATGTGTCTGGAGGACTGTGGATGTCTCAGCGGGCTGTGGAGCATTGCGGATTCCAAAGGCCCTGCAGCCAGTGGTGAGTGCTCAGCGCACTCTGCCCAGAGCCCAGACTGTTTGGGTCCCTCCAGGCTTCCAGGTACAGTGAAGTGGAGAGGTGGGTTTGAGGTGTCTACATCTGCCTCCACATCTCGGCTGCGATTGGAGAGCTGTGGAGCTTCCAAGGGGCAGGAGGGCGCACAATGTCCCTGAGGCCCAGCTTGTCTGGAACCGTGGAGTTCTGAGCAGGCAGAGGAGGGCCATTGATTCTGCAGGCCCAGTGGCTTAGAGTAGTGTGGTGCCAGAGTCTCAGTAGCTGCAAACATAGAAGGGGATTTCCAACAGATCCTGAGGAAGCTTTCAAATAACACTTGAAACACAGAAATATAGGAAAATGACAAAATAAAAGACCAAATTACAACCTCAAACCTCCAGCCCATCTCAAGAAACCCTAGGAGCAATGTATATAGATGAAAATATATGCCATTCACCTCAAATATTGGACACAATAGCTACTGAAATTAACAAGCAACTCCAGGAAGCTTTAAAGAAATTCAAACTCAAAATAATCTCCCAGGTAAAAGAAGAAATGAAAGAGATTCTGAATATATCTAAAGAAAACACAGATAAAAAATTGGAGGAACTAAACAAAAAGATAGAATCCCTAGATAAGCAATATAAGAAACAAACAGAATACATAATGCAGATGCACAGAGATATACAGGAAATAAAAAACTCCACTGAAAGTTGTAAAAACCGCCTTAATGAAAGTGAAGATAGAATTTCAGACCTTGAAGACAGGATTGCAGCTAGTGAACAGGAAAGGAAAGATCTTTTGAAAATAACAAGGAATCAGGAAACAACAATTCAACAACTGCAAGACGATGCAAAGAAGAATAACATAAGGATGATAGGGATTAATGAAAGAGAGGGAGACAACATGAAGGATGTCAGGAGGATATTTAGAGAAGTAATAGCTGAAAATTTCCCAAGCATGAGATCAGAAACTGACATCAGGATCAGTGAAGCATATAGAACTCCAAATAGTCATAACCAAAATAAAACTACACCAGGACATATAATAAACACCATCCCAGAAATCCAACACAAGAATAGATTATTAAAAGCTGTCAGAGAGAAAAGACAGATCACTTATAAAGGAAAACCTATCAGAATCACAGCAGACTTCTCAGCACAAACGATAAAGTCAAGAAGAGCATGGAGTGAAGTATTCCAGATCCTAAAGCAAAATGATTTCCAACCTAGACTGATATATCCTGCAAAACTATCATTCAAAATAGATGGTGAAATACGATACTTCCATGACAAAGAACAGCTGAAGAACTTCATGAACACCAAACCGACCCTGCAAAAAATATTGAAAGACAGTTTAGATACACAAAGGAAAAAACCACTAAGCAAAGCAAATAATTAAACAGAACAGAAAGATAAAGATGCAACAGCAGAGAGATAACATTCCTACAATTAACCAGCATTTAACAGTAATAACCATTAATGTAAATGGTCTCAATGCACCAATCAAAAGAAACAGACTAGCAGAATGGATCAAGAAACAAAATCCAACCATATGCTGTTTACAGGAAACCCATCTAACCCAGAAGGATACTCACAGACTGAAAGTCAAGGGATGGAAAACAATTCTTCATGCAGCAGGAATCCAAAAAAAGGCAGGAGTAGCCATTCTGTTTGCAGACAACGTGAACTTTAAACCAACAATGACCATAAAGGACAAAGAAGATCATTACATACTCGTAAGGGTAAAACTCCAAGAGGAAGAGATAATTATCTTAAATATATATGCACCAAACTCCAGAGCACCCAGTTATATAAAACAATTATTAACAGAAATGAAAACTCAATTTATCAGTAACAAAATTGTAACAGGAGATCTTAATACGCCATTGACACCAAGGGACAGATCAACCAGACAGAAAATAAGCAAAGAAATAACAGAACTGAATCACATCTGGGAACAAATGGGTTTGATAGACATATACAGAATGTTCCACCCAACAACATCAGAATACATATTCTTCTCAGCAGTACATTGATCATTCTCTAAAATGGACCATATATTAGCTCACAGAACATATTTAAACAAATGCAAAAGAGTTGAAATCATCCCTTGCATGTTATCGGATCATAGTGCTCTGAAATTAGAAATTAATGATAAGAGATACTGCAAAAATCCCGCAAACACATGGAAATTGAATAACACACTCTTGAGTAATCAGTGGGTCACAGAAGAAATTAAAGAAGAAATTAAACAATGCCTAAAACAAAATGAAAATGCAGATACAACTTACCGGAATCTGTGGGATGCAATGAAAGCCGTCCTGAGAGGAAAATTTATTGCACTGAGTTCCCACATCAGGAAAACAGAACGAATACAAATAAATAACTTGATGCTACACCTCAAACAGCTAGAAAAAGAAGAGCAAGTCAAGCCCAAAGCCAAAAGAAGAGAGGAAATTATAA